TTTTCTGACAGAGATTTCTCTCCCCCACCCCCACTACAAATCAATTTGAGCACTTCATTTATGCAAAGGGGAATATTGTGTGCCAAGAGCTACATTCACCTTTAAGTCATGTACTGCCATATTTTTCCACCACAAAAGCCTTGCTCTGAATCTAAAAGATTTTTTTCTAATTTTTCCAATAGGCTTGATCACTCATAACTATAAATTGATCAATTTATAAAGTTAAATTAACCAATGACTCTCAAGCTTCCCCCATATCTTCACTAAGAGCAGCCTCACCAGATTTCCTTCTTGTTCCTTCTAGTTTACTAGGAGGAGTCTTGAAAGAAGCTTCTGCAGCCATAGCTATAGATGTTTCTGCAGGAAAAAAAAATTGGGAAGAATTTTCAAATGCACGAATGCAGATGAAAGCAGGGGTCACTTTCTGGCTGAAGTTCGCTCAGAGAACCCAGAAGTAAAATTAGCTTTATATTAGTAATAAGAAACAGTATAAAATACATCCAATAACTTAATAACTAAGAGCTTGCAAACTGGGGAAAGCAGCGGTTAGGCGAGATGCTCCCCCTCCTTAGACCGTTAAGGCCCTCCCGAGAGAGGGAGCATCCAATTCAGCGTGTACAAAAGCACAGGCTTTCATGACAGACGCAGCAGGGTAAGAGACAGGATTTTAAAAAAAAAAAAAATCTCACGGAAGAAGACGCGCCGCCGTTAACTAGACGCTCACCGAAACAAGACAGTCTCAACCACTCCAGCAGTTTCCGCCACCGTTTGAATCTCTGCTGGCGCTTGCGTAAACAGAACGTTAAGCGGGGGCGGGGCAAAGCGGAACGGACCAATTGGAGGTTCGGGACACGCAGCGGACGAATTCGAGGAGTGGCTAATGCTAGATGCTCTGTCTGGTGGGCAGCTGGCGTGTTGTGGGAAAAGGGGAATTTGCAGCTTGAACGAGAAGCAGGATTTCAGCAGCAGATGGAGTGGGCTGATGGACCAGATTACTGTCCCAGATTTTCTATTATCCGAGAATAGTTAAGGCAGAGGCCCCCAAACTTGGCAATTTTCTAAATTTATTTATTTATTCATAAATCTATTTTCTAAAGTTTGTAGGCCAGACAAGGAATAATGGATGGAAACTGAACGAGGAGAGATTTAACCTGGAAATACGGAGAAACTTTCTGACAGTGAGAACAATCAACCCATGGAACAGCTTGTCCTTGGAAGTTGTGGGAGCGCCATCCCTTGAGACTTTCAAGAAGAGATTGGACTGCCATTTGTCAGAAATGATGTAGGGTCTCCCGCTTGGGTGAGGGGTTGGATGAGATGACCTACAAGGTCCCTTCCAACTCTGATTATCTCTTATCTGTTATGCAACTTTAAGACTTGTGGACTTCAATTTCCAGAAAGCTGGCTGGAGAATTCTGGGAATTGAAATCCACATGTCTTAAAAGTTGCCAAGTTTGGGGACCCCTGAGTTAAGGGGTTGCTAACTGAGACAGATCAAGAAAGCACCAGGAATAGAAAAAAACATGATTTCGGGCTGGTTTACTCACTACAACCGAGCTAAATAGAGTTGCTTTATCAGTGAGATGGGCAGCATATAAAATAATAAATGCCAGTACCAATTCGAAAAGGCTAAGGGAAGAAAGACTGGGGTTAGTATTTGCATGAGAGCCCCCCAGGAATGCCAAGGTTATTGGCTGGAATGGGAAGAAGGGGGCATCAAACACTTCACTATGTCAAACCACATGGATTCATCCATGAAATCCTCAGGGGTGACAGAGAGTCGATGTCATACATAGCTGTATTGTATGTGTACTGTAATAAATGATTTATATTCTTAGTGTGTAATTTGAATTAGCAAATCATTCACTAGATCAACTTAAAGCTGGCAGTCAAAATATTTGAAAGCATACTGTCCACTGATGGGATTCAGATTTTTCTACTACCAGTTTTGTAGGCGTTGCTTGGTGGTTATGTAAATTTTTAAGAGAACAGGATTGGGGTCCAACAAAATGGGAACAAACAAAAAGGATATAATACAAAATCATCTAAGAAGTTAGATCAAGAAGAATGAATTTCATAGGTACATTCACAGAGCAATACTGAATTCTTTTTCTAAAATTTATTCCTCAACTAAAAAAACAGGAATATATGAATTAGGTTCAGTATTGGGCTCAGCTTGCACTCAAGTCAAGTACCTATTCAAGAGTAAGTGGTGTCATGGTTAGAAACAATTGTAAAGCAATATATAGATTTAAAACCAGAAATATTTTGTTGGGTATTTTAAAGGGAATACATATTTAATTTTACACATGTTAACAGCTGCTAGAATTGTGTTTGCACAACAGTGGAAAAACAAAAAGATCCCTATAGATGAAAATGTAATAAAAATATTAGAATGTGCAGAAATGAATAGATTAACACTTAAAGTTAAGGAGAAGGCTTCAAATACTTTTTAACGTGGGGTTTGTTTTATCAATGGCTATCTAACAAACAGAAGTTAGAAATCTGAAAGTATAAAATTAATGTACCAGGATATATTTTGCTCCAATGCAGTTACTTGCCTATTAGGCCAAAGATAACTACAGATTACGCCTTAATATCATTTCACTTTCTAAAATGTTCTCATCTTCTCAAGGACAGACTCTACAGTATTTACAGATCAAACAGGAAAACTGCATTTTGCTTAGAATAGTTCCACTCCCTACCACTAACATCAAAACCTAACATCAAAGCTGCATCAGCAAATGTCTTTAATATCTAACACGAGCCCATTTTTACAATGTTTAAATCTTGGGTTTCAGATCCAAATTAATAAATCTAGGTTAGGAAAAAAAAACAACAGACAGCACTAAATGTAGTTAAAATTTGTGCCAGTAAACTGTTCAAATCAGGTTAGAGCTGTGGGCACTCAAAAAAGGCTGCAAAATAGGAGGGAGGAATAGTAATAGATATGCATTATTGAATTATTTATAAAAATTAAAGGATAAAAATAGAAAAGAATGAATGGGTATAGTTTTCTCTAGGATTGAAAGGAGCTGTTTGAAAACAGTAAAAGATGATGGGTGACTTACCTTTGGCCTCTTTCTCAAATTTAGGCTCACTGGATTTGCCGAGTAGCAGAAATACCAAATTAATTTACAACCTTACGTCTTGTGAAACTTAAAAGGGAACTGTGCTACAGGCTATCATAAACTGCTCTCCATTACATGCCCTTCCCTAAGATGGAAATAATGAACTATACAGGATTATCAAATAAAGTTTTAAAAATAGTGACCAGATTTGGGCTGCAGTTTAAGAAAGGACTTCACTTATATTTTTCTCTCTTCCTCAACACAACAAATGAAAGGAAATGTAAGCTTCATCTTTGCTCTCTTTGTCTACAATTAGGGCTCCAGTTTTGGTTTGCAAAAATCTGGATGGGATGGCAAAATAATGCAGAAATATCTGGCTCTTTCTTACCACACCTATATAGGAAGTTAGCACCCACCCCCACCTACAATATCCTAAGAAATATTTTAAAAGGCAGAATATTTTCCCTAAAAGGGAAGTAGAAACCCAAGAGAGGCAGAAGCTAACCCCCCACCTTTGTTAATAGGCGGGCCATTAAGGCCTGGGCCAGAGTATTCTGCATAACAAAGCCCTCTACCCATCTCACCACCTGCCCTGGGAAGATTGCATCAGCCAGCACTCAGGTGAAGCCATGTGGTCCAGACAAAGTCTACAAAGTTAACTAAGACTCCCGCCCCTGGGAGTCTGACAGCCAATGGGATACATTTCTTGCACAAGAACAGGAAACACCAAGGTGGGGCCCAACAGAAGGTATATAACTAAGTGTCTCTCAGCATCTTGCCCCTTTTTTTCCTTTACCCTTTACGCATGTGATTGTCCTTTTCACTTTGGAGCTCCAAGCCATGTGGTCCTGTTCACCATTAAACCATCTTTCCAAACAGCCTCCATGTTTCCAGTGTCTTTTTCCCCACTTAGAACTGAACCCAGAAGGTTATTTCTGCCAGCTTGGTATTGTCTGCAAATTTGATAAGTTCTTCTTCTATCCTCCCCCCTTCCCCAAGTTTGGGGACATGTCAGAAGAGTACTGGATCAGTAGAAGCAGCAGAATTAGATTGTTAGACATTTTCTCTAAAACGCAGATGTTCATTTCTACCCCCAATATTTAGCCTCACCATCTATCTATGCAATGTTGGACTCAGGTCACAGAATATACACTGAGTTACAGGTCAACTGATGCAATAGTGCATTTTATGAAGCCAACTTGTGCAGTTAACAGTTCATTATAAAATTGCCTTTTCAGTAAAAGAAAAACAGTTAACTTGTAGTGTACCATTTCCAATGTTCAGCCAGCCTCCTATCAGAATCACGCACACACAAACTCCCACAAACCATGCAGATACTATAACTTTAATTGTAGGAAATAAAGGATTCCCGTAAAAAGAAACGGAAGTGGCTTGAATTATTATATTGTAGAGCAAAATCCAAAAATTGGGTCTCATGCTCTTATTAGCCTATCAACAAATCCACATACAGCAGGGTGGATCAATTAGATATTCTAGATCTAGACAGAACAGGTGGGAAAGACTGAGGCTATCAGGAACTGAACGAGGAAACGGAGGAGGGGTAGAAAAAGAGCCAGGCTCAGGAATGTATTCAGTTGCAAATGAATTCGAGGAATAAAGGCAACACCTTGAAGGTGCCTTCCAAATGTATTATTCTATGTCCGCCCAATAAATACAATTTTAAAATCCCAGCGGTACACTTGAAAGCAAGCTGCCTTTCAAAAAGAAGCGCAAAAGGCTGGAAGGGGAAATGACCCCTGCCTGAAAACAGGCAGCGCCACCACCAATCCCCAACTCCTCGACTTCATGTAAGATGGCGACGCGCCAAAGGGGGAAGTAGATATTCGGTGACATCACGGATGGGCTGATCTGGAGCTACCGCGCGGGAGGAGGAGCAGCGAAGTACGGAAACCGGCGAGTGGCTGGAGCGGGGTGGGGGTGAGTTCCTCCTCTTCTCCTGTTATTCTCGAAGCCGGGCTGGACGAGCGTTCAGTGTGTCTCTATGCAGGCGGCGCTCCTGCTCCCTGTGTAGCCTCGCGTGGGAAAGGTAGGCGAGACGGACTGGGCCCCTTTTCTGCATAGCGGATCCGTCTGATGTCGCTGCTAACCATGGCCGGTTATGACTACGTGAGCGCCGAGCAGCTCGCCGGCTTCGATAAGTACAAGGTGAGACGGTGGGCTTCCTCGGGCTTTCCCGAAGGAGGGAAAGACTGCTGGGGTTGCGGGGAAAGGAGACGCCCTGAGCTGCTGGAAGGCGACGGGAGGAATCCCTCCAGGGAGACACGCGGTGCTTGGATAGCTCAGCCGCGGCGCAGCAGCTTCTTTACGTGCGGGAAGCAGCCGTGCTCCGTCGGTACTTCTCTTTCCTCGACTCGCCGCTTGAATTAGCCTACAATCCCCATTGCCGCTAACCCGAACGGTGAGATGAGCGAGGCTGATGGGGATTGTAGTCCACCTTGCACCAAGGGCCGCTGTTTGGAATAAAGGAGGCCTCTTTCTAGCTGAAAATTTGAGGGTATTATGCCCAAAACAGTATTTGAGATGTCTCCACCTGCCCATCCCCGTGGATCATTTCAGAGCCGTGACTCAGTAAAGATGCATCTGTGGCATGCATTTTTTTATTCTTTTTATTCTATGATTTGCCTATTGTTATGCTTGCCAAGAAGCTGCTTTTGAGGCTTTAAGCTTGTGAATAATCCTTTTGCACATAGATGTGCTTTCACTATCTGGCTATGTAATATTTTCTCTACTATCTTTTGGAAACTATAAGAATGGAATATGGGCATGACAAAGAATTCCATAATTTCGACTCAGTGATCTCCCTGAATTATAAACTGAGTCTTCTTACAAGGATATAGGACAAAAGGGAGCTAGGATCCAGTAACTGCCAAGTAATCTCTGCTTCTTGCAACTTCCCAAGATAAACTATGATAGTGGGAATACTTTAACTCCACTGGTGACTTTGCTGATTGCTTTTTAGCCATGCCATGTAGAGTTCAATCACAAAGCTAAGTCTTTGACTACTGTCACAGAAAGCAGAAAAAGACATAGTGATCCATTGAGTTTGTTTTTGGGTTTTTTTAATCTATTCATTTATTTATTTTTAACAGATGATGGATATATATTTATCACGTTTGAGACTTAGTGTTGCCTTGCTCTCACTTCTGCAATTTTTATAACTCCTATAAGGCACAGAAAAGGATATTTATGCATGCACATACTTTATTTATACAAACTAGTCAAGCTGCTTAACAATCAGGCTGTTTCAAGCACTGCCAGTTGCCAATCAAAGTTGGGTATAATGTGTTGAATTAGGAATGGGAACACCCAGGTCCATGCTCAGTCATGGACAGTCATTAAGTGAGTTGGCTGATTGCTTTCTCAGATCAACTATTTCACAGTAGGAAACCAGTTCTCCCTCTCCAAGCTCCTGATGGATGACAGATATAAATTTTATAAATGAAACTGAAGCAAAGAAATTCCCATGGGTGAGTGACCTTTGATTGAATTTGAGTCTGAATTTGAGCAACTCAGAGAATTATAAGAGTAAGAAAATCATCTGAACATTGCTTTTGAAGATACTGTGCAGTTAATAGTAAAATGAGTAAAAGCCACAAAGCCACAAGAATGCTATTTCATCTACCTGCTGACTCCTTCAGTCTTCCTTAAACACCATAAGGTAATTGATTTCTGCCACTACAACGTAAGCAAGAAAATTATCCCCTTTGTTTCTTTGCAGAGGAGTCTTTTTTCTTTGGTTGTTCATTTCCTTTGTGTGTATGGATGAAGAGTTGTACTTTTTGAGGTTTCCTCAACAATATAGAATCCTTTTGTTTCCTTCTCTGTAAAGGAACTTCTGCCTACAAAATTCACAACTCACCTTAAGTTTTATGGAAGGGAAAGATTTGGGAAATTGCTGCTTGTGTTTTATCATCATTCTGTAACTTGCTGAGTTTTCTACTTGGACAGCTAGCTGTTTACAGAATAACCAGAGTTGGAAATAACCTGTAAGGTCATCTAGTCCAACCCCCTACTCAAGCAGGAGACCCTATACCATTTCTGACAAATGGCTGTCCATTATTTTCTTGAAAGCTTCTAGTGATAAAACACCCACAATTTCTGAAGGCAAGCTGTCCCACTGGTTGATTGTTCTCATTGTCAAAATTTCTCCTTTTTTCTAGGTTGCATCTCTCTTTAATCAGTTTCCATCCATTGTTCCTTGTCTGGCCTTTGGTTGCTTTGGAAAATAGATGTTTAACAACCATTACGTTTATATCTTTAATAACCATAACTTTAATCATCTTTGAAGTGATGACAGCATCAGAAAAGTTGGTTACCATTTAGCTTCAAAGTTACGATTCCTACACACAAACACCCCGTGATCATATGATTGCATTTTAGGCACTTGACAGATGGTTTCCATTTATGACTGGTTGCAGCATCCCACAGTCTCATGACCACAATTTGTGACTTTTGCAGGTTTCTGGCAAAAAAGGCCCACTCAGGAAATGGATTTGCTTCACATGTGAGTCACTTAATGAGCACATGATTTGTTTAATGGCCATGGTGGCTCATTTTATGACTGTCCTAAAAATGGTTGTGAAATCAAGTCAAGTCACATGGTGACTCATTTAATGATGGCAATGACTTCTGATGGAAATCACAGGCTCAATTGTGATAATTAAATAAGGATTACTTGTAATGTACTGCTCCCTAAAATTCCAGTGGGGTATCAGATCTTTCCATTTTAATTTTGGCCTTAATCCTGAAGGAGTATGCAGAACAACCCTTTTGCATTAGGATTCTTCTCTTTGGACCATAATTACCCTTTTCTTTATTTTGAATCAGGCATCTTGCTGCATGTGAAGCTCAGTTACTTTGTATGTACATTGCATTCAATTTTCATTTGTTTAATCTGGGTTTATTAAATAAGCTTTATTGGCAGGGACAATACAGCATGATAATTATAAACTATACTTTAATGTCAGTGTCTGGGTTCACATTCAACATACACTGCTAAAACCAGCTAAATGCATGAATTGGCACAATGCATGAATCAAGCCAGTAGCTCACATTTCCTTTCTCTAATAAAAGTTGAAAAGCTAAGACCTGTCTCAGCAGGTGGCAGCATTTTCTGACTACCTGAATTGGGAAGCTAAGTTAGGTTTGATTAGTACTTCTGTGAGTATAAACTATATTGAACAATTTTAAGAATATCCTAAGAGATTGATTATGTACCATCTACTCAGCTATCACATATATATTTTTCCATTACAATTTTAGAAGAAGTCATAGCAATCCCATCTCTAAACAACTTGAAAAAAAATATGGGTGTGCTCTTGAAATCACCAGTACTTGACTTGGAGAAGATATTAATTCTTACTCTGCTGAATCTTCTTTGCTGGAATTGCCAAAAGATAGTTGTGTTCCAACCACATGATTGCATATGTTGCACAATTATCATTTTGCGGAAAACTGTAGATTTGTGAATCAATTTCGTAACTTAATGGGGAATCTGAATTACTTGAGTTTATTCATGAGCGTGAGAGAATAAAACTCAGAAATCATGTGAGAAAATTCTCTTTGCCTAATAGATGGAGCTATATTTGCAAATATGGTGCAACTGATTTATTCAGAATCAGATTCAAAATTCCCTCTTAGCTCTGGGAATGCGGAGGCGGCAAATCAGTTAAGCTCCCCTTTTCTCCAGAGCAAAGATTGAGCTTTTAGTTCCGATTTTCAGGAAGATAGTCCTGACAAATTCAATTTCATAATGCTGTTACGTAAAAAAAGTTATACTTCCTTGGAGCCTCTTGTTGGGGTACAACACTTGCTTTAGACATGTAGTACTGTTGTCTGAGAGAAGCTTGTTGTAATGGTTATTATAACTGCTACATCATTTTGAAGTTTTTAAAATCATTTTGTTTTGTTTTTCTGTGCTTGCTTGCTTTCCGTCTGTTTTTCAGGATTGTTGCGTATACTATTTTTACCTTTTTCCCCGTTGGACCTTTTTCAAACATACAACATTTGGCAAATCCTTTTTCCACGTGTAATTAAATACACAGAAGCATTATAAGAGAATGTCTTTGTATTCTATTAGTTTATAAAATATAATAATTGATTATTCAAAAGAGTAGAGCTGTGTGTAAGGTTTCAAAAAAAACCCTCCCTTAAAGATTTAATAACATGGTTCCCCGAAAATACAACCTCCCCCCAAAATAAGACTTAGCCTGATTTTCACACTTGCACCTAATACAAGCCCTACCTAAAAAATAAGGCCTAGTTAAGTCCCACCCACCATCTGGTTCTACGAGGTGAGGTGAGGCACAGGTGTAAAAATCTAGGGTGAGGAGTTTGGAGGTGCCCCATGCACCCTGTACCCACTTACCTTAGGATCGCCACAGCCAGGCCTCCCACTTCTGTAGCTGCTTGTGATACTGTGAGGCACAATGCACCGGTGCAGCCACTCATGCATACAATGAGGCAACACTATGCAGCATCGGGCTGCAAGAACATGCACCTGCTAGACGAGCTTCATGGCATTCTGCCACAAGCAGCTCCACCGGAGTGACAAGACCCAAGCTCCAGTGTCCCAGCAGCAGCAGGCAGGGAGGGCAGAGTCAGGGGCACACCGAGAACTTGGCCTGTTGCAGCCGCAGGAACACGAGCTCGGGGCTTGTCACACAGGTGAGACAGAGGGCAGGGTAAGCGGTAGCATCACTCCCACTCCCGTTGGCCCCCATGCTCTCCACCTCCTGCACGTGAAAAAGATAAGACCTCCCCAAAAATAAGCCCAAGTGCTTATTTCAGGGCCCAGAAGAACATTAGACTGGGTCTTATTTTTGGGAAAACACGGTATTTCAAGGAGAAATTCAAACGTTTACCCCAAATTTTTAGGGCAGGGGTTCCCAAGTAGTGAGCCATGAGCTGTTTGCAACCAGGCTGTGGAAATGGCTTCTCCCTGCTCATTGTTCCCATGGTAGAGTTGAAGGAACTTAAAACAACTTAGAAATGCCTAGACCACCATTGGCAAAAGGTGAGGAACAAAGACTATTGAACACAAGCTAGAGACACTATTGGAATCTATGCCAGTAAGAGCAACGAAGCATAACTATTTCTACACCCATATAGCATCTGTGGTCTGTGGACAATCACCAAGTATTTCA